TTTCACTCACCCCTCGCTGGTCTTCTAGGTATTGGAGTCCCAAGCTTGGCTCTAGTATCCTTGAATATGGCTTCTCCTTCTCCCAAGTTCTCTCCTCCTTCCTTCACACCTCCTCCCTGGCTATGGCAGGTTCCTACCTCTAGGGTGGAGTCCTTCCCTCTAGAAGGGCTATGGGGACCCCTTTCAGCCTCTCCTCCTACCTCACAGCCTGAGGGCTATGGCGGACCACTCTCCTTGCTTCCTCCTAGCCTCCAAGTCTTCTCCTTCAGCCCTACCACCATAGCCAGACTCCAGGCTAGCTCCGGTTCTCACTCCCTTGCTTCACTTCCACTCAGACTCTCTCCTAGACTCATTTGGGCAGCATGGGCACTTCTCATGCTCAAATGAGAGTGGCGGCCTGCACCTCTAGCTTATGTAGGCTGGAACAGGTGCACCACCCAAACTCTAGGCCTCTCCAAGTGCCTCTAGGTGGACCGAGGTACCCCCAAGGCCAAATTTCAGGTTTTGGCCTTCCTAGAGGTACCTGGGCCTCATTTTGGCCAGGTACATGCAGTCTGAGAGGCTGGTACCTCCTCGGACTACCCGTTGGCCTACCCGGCCTCTTTTTACTTCAAAAAGTGCTGCCTTTTGGGGTACCCCTTCCCAAAATGCAACCTTTACTGAAAGTTGAGGGCCTAAAGGCTCATTTCTCGTCTTTTTCCTGATCTAGGCCTCTTTTTGGTAGGCCGTTGCATTTTCCAAGTGGCGGCACAAATCTCAGCCTTGGATTTGGCTGAGATCCACGGTTCCATCATTCCGAGCTACTCCAAGCCCTCCTTGGTTCAAATTGAAACTCCTACCTTCAATTTTTCAACGTTTTGGTGTATATGGCCCAACCCTTGGGCCAAATTCGCAGTTTTGTCATGTTCCTCTCTTTGTCTTCCCTCCGTTTGGCTGCCAACTCATTCTGGAGCTAGCCGTTTTGCGTCAGCCCACAAAAAAACGGCTAGATCTCCTCCTACACAAGATTCGTTTTCAGATCTATGGCCCAAAAAGGAGCCGGCCAACTCACATCAGCATTTTCCCTTATTTTTGCTACTTAAATTCAGATATTGCAGAGATAATGCCCCAAGGGCCTTATCTCTGCAATCCGGACTGCCCTCCTAGGATTTAGGAGGGATGAGGTAATCATTGGGACCTGCCAGTCCCTACTGCTGCAGTCCCACTGGCGGCATTTTTCCCTCCACCCATTCCTCCTCCTTTGTCTCATTCTCCCCTTTTTTTCTCCTCTTTTTCCGTCCTCTCTCTTTTATTACTGTTGGGACAAGTGTCCAACAGCTATTTCTCCTCTTTCTAACTGTTGGACCTTTCCCAAGGCCTGATTTTGCTGCCGGCATATGGCCGTTACMCCCCGGACTGCAGTAGTGGCMCCCCCAAGGCCCAAGGGGGCTCCTTTCTGCTACCGCCGCTCCCAGTTTGAGACTCCCTTGCTCCGATTTTCTCTGGCCAGCCTTTTCTCCACGTGGAGTCCTTGGAACTTCATGTTTCTTGGCCTAGCCAGTCCGGGACCACTGGCTGGCCCCTATTACTGCCGCTACTCCATCCGTTTGCTGTTTGCTCCCTGCCTGGTCTTGTTTATGCATAACAATCACCACAACCACCACCCCATACGCTCACATTCCTTCCCATCCCCATTTGCAGATTTGTCGGCCTTCTCAGAACCCTTGCTTGCCCCCGCGCGGTTGGTGATCCCATCCTCCCTTATACCCCTAAGCACATTGTCCCCCCCCCACATAGGTACCTTATGTAGGCGATCGACAACATCCTCCGCAAAAACTATGGTACAGTGTTCCAGCCCATAGATACCTCGTGTAGACAGTCCCCAGAGTTGCCCGCAAAAACTATAGTACACTGTCGCCGACTCCCAACCCCATGCATACTCAGCCCAGACAGTCTCCCCATGTTCCACAGAAAATCAAGTCACACAAACGAACAACCCTTGTTGTCATGATCACTCCCATAGGGAGGCAGTCCAGGATCATAGCCAGTTGTCTACCTTTCAAGCTGTGACTTCCCCTGTTTCCCTGTCCTCAGCCTCTTGTAGCCACTGTTCCACCGGATCCCTGCTAAAAAATTTGACCAGTCTCTGTCCAGGAAATGACCCTCTTATGCTAGTACCATCGAGATCCTCAAGTTCAAACGTGTTCAGTCCCACCCGCTTAGCGATCTTGTAAGGCCCTTTGAATCTTTTTCCCAACTGCCCAGACCATGTGCTTTCAAAAGCCGAGTTCCTAACTAGCACCTTTTCCCCCACTTGGAGTGGCTCCTTCCGAATGTTCTTGACCTGGTCCCATCTTGCTTTATCCCTCATTCGGCTATCCGTCACACGATTGACTACTCCCTCGAGTGCCTCCTCATTCCTGGCGACCTACTGACAACGTGCGGTAATTAACTCTTCCGTGCTCAAGTGTGGGTCGTCATCTAGCCTGTTCCAGGTAGGGACCAAGGCTTCTATCGAAAAATCAATCTCCCTTCCATACCAGAGTTCTACTGAAATACATCCCGTTGTTCTTTTTGGAGTCATGTTCTCGGCGAAGACTACCTGCTTGAGAAACCGTGGCCAACTTCCCAAATTATCTGCTGCCAATTTTGCAATTGTGTTCTTCAGAGTCCGGTGACCCCTTTCTACTGGTGCATTTGCCTCGGGATGGTAGGGCTCGGTGATCTTGATCGGCACACACAGTGTCTTAAGCCTGTTCAACAGTTCTTGGTTAACGAATTCTGTCCCATTGTCTGCTATGAACCTGCGCACGAAGGGATGTCTTAGGTAGAAATCTTCCACCCAGTCGGCCATTACTTTCCCCGTCTTCTTCTTGAGGGCTACGACCTCTACATAGCCACTGAGATTATCCCTTGCATCCAAGATGTATCTAAACCCATCCGTTGATACGGGCATAATGACAAGATCGAGGTGGACAAGGTGTCCGGGTCCCAGTACCCAAGTGGGTCTAAGGGGCTCGTATACTCGTACGGAGCTCCTTTCTTGACATATCAGACACGTCTGACAATACGTTGCGACCATGCCTGCCATCCCTGGCCAAAAGTACAGGGGCACGATCTTCGCAAGTGTCCCTTTAGACGACCGGTGACCTCCAGCTAGTCCATCATGCATTGCCTGAATTACGTCCAACTGCCTAGACCTCCCACAAACGACGCGTCTAGGTGTCATCCCTTCCTCTTTCTTGAACAGATGGTCATTTCTTAGGACATACTTTTTAACTTCCTCCCTTGCCTTGGGACTGACTTCTGCGGGTTGTTTGTTTCCCACAAGCAGCAGACCGATTTCTTTAAAGACGCCTTCGTACATCTGTATGAGGAAGAATTCCTGTTCGTTCTGGTCCGTACCCTGCTCCTCTCAGGCCTGGTTGACTGGGTACTGACACTCCTTCTGCGTCCAGGTCTCGACGATCGTCATCACGGCGTCCCGTCCCCCTTCCACAGCCATTGCCATCAGTTCTTCTCTGGCCCCTACTTCTGCTCCCCACGAGTCCTTTTCTTCTTTACGCCTGACCATGGTGACTGGTCCTTCCCTGAGTTTTGCAACTACTGTCGGTGCGCCCTTTTCCAAGGTCTGAATCAGCAACTGGCCTGTTGTAATTGCTGGATCTGCCATATCATTGTCCACAACAAGGGTCCCTCCTTCGTACTCCAGGAAGGCGTCAATTGGTTCCGCATCCTCTACTCCTTCTGGCGTGATACATACCCTGCTCAGCCCATCTGCCCTATTTCGAAGCCCTGCGATTCGCTCGACCTTATAGTCGAATTGCCATATGAAGCCTATCCATCTGCCAACGGTCGGATCTATAGGCTTGTTGTTCTTTAGGGCCCCGGCAACGTTGGTGGGATCGATCCGTATTAAAAAGTCACAAAGTATTATTGAATCGTAAGATGCTTGCACAGATAGCAATTCTTGATATCACAAGCTTTAAAAAGCTTATCAGGGTCCTACTTTCAAATCTGATTGGTCTTTCTTTGCCCTGCTCGCTTTTCTGTATCAATACTCCTTCAACTGTCTGCGGTCCCCCGTCTGTTTCTAGGATGAAGGGTCGTCCTACTTCGTCATTGAAACAGGGTGCTGCTAGAGTGACCTGATCGGACGACAGGATATCTTTTAGGGTTTGGGTTGCTGCTTCTCTATCCTCGGTCCAATCCATAGTGCCACCTTCCCTAATCATTGCGCGGATAGGCTCTGCTATCTTTGCAAATCCTTTGATGAAGATCCTCCAGAACCCAACCACCCCTAGGAAGGCTCGTACTTTCGTCGTGGTGCGCAGGGGTGTCGGCCACTGGGAGATCTTATCAGTGTTTGCTAGATCGGGTCTCCTTCCATAAACTCCACAACGAAATCCCAGTATGGTTACTTCTGGGACGCCCAGGATGTTCTTGGGTCCGCTTGCAGTAATATTGTAAACTAGGAATCGTTGGAGTAGGTCCTTAATATCCTGCAGGCGGTCCCAAACAAACTTTCTCACGCCTGGCTCGATTTCCGTCTCATCCTTGTACCTTGCGACTTTTACGGGATTATCGTCTATATATGGTTCACACTTTTCCGGAAACATATCCCCGACGACGGCGAGCATCCTCCTCTGAGCTTCTGCTACCGCATTTGTAAAGCCAATAGGGGTCACTTGCATCTGCAGCTGCCCTACGGGGGTGTGCATTGCGGTGCACGGCCTATCCCTCGCATCGAGTGGCAGCTGGTCATATCTTGAATACAGATTTATCAGGGAGTAAATGTTGCGCCCGCATGAGATTCTGCCAACAAGTTGGCCTGTGGAAGCGAGCCTGCGTTCCTAATTGTTACGGCATTGAGCTTCTGCAGGTCCTGGATCCACCTGAGCGTCTTATTGGGTTTCCTGAACACAAACCACTTGTTCGCGTAGGGGGATGCGGTGGGTTCAGCCACAAACGAGTCTATCTTGGCCCTAAGCAGGTCAGTGACTTCTGCTGCTATTCCGAACTCGTAGGCAGGACCTTTATCATTCCAGCATTCATGCTCTACTGTGTGGATCCTGACTGGAGGGACTAGCTTTGCGTCCAACCGCCCTTTCTGATGATCATTGAAAGCGAAAGTTAAATGGAACTCCTGGCACGCCTTTCTTATCAACTGAGTTTCTTCCGCTGTTAGGAATCCTTCCACTCCTATTTTCATGGTATTTGCTACGTCATCTGGTATGCGATGCCCTTCCGTTGCCCGTCTCTCCTTTATCATCCGTAGGGTCTCCTCCTCTTTTTCCATGGCCTCTTCCCTCGATGTTTCTACTAGGATCGAGACCGGTTTGGCCTTCTTCCCTACGGGTTTGTACTTTTGCACACTTCCTTCTGGGATCGTTCTCCTAAAAAATGAATCGTCTGGATTGGCCTTGCCACCTCCGTGACACGGGGCTGGACACTGACTACCTTCCCATTAAGACAGTAGCCCTTCTGGATTTCTTCCTCAAACTTTGCAAGTGTTGTCGGATCTACGCCAATTTTATGGTATCTAATGGCTTTGATGAGCTGCAGTAAGTCAGGAATCTGAAGCACTACTTCCGTCGTTTCCTTCCGTCCCTCCTTTGGTTTGGGCAGATTGGCGCCAAGTTCGATTTTCGACTCCTTTTCCGCCAACATAACCCCCAGAAGCTCGTCCTCCGGCCTCCTCTTCTTCCCAGGCAGCCCCATCTTGATCCACTCCTTTTTACTAAAAGTCTCCTCAATCATGATCTCTACTCTCTCCCTCATACCTTCCATCCGTGCAAATGCGCCCTTCCTCGCACTCTCGTCGAATGTTGGTGACCAGGTTGCCAACTTGTCCTTCGGAGGGTCCCCTCCGGTCCCAAGGAGTCGGAGGAGTTCTCCACGGCCGTTCACTGAGTCTTCTATGTCTACCATATATGTGCCGTCGTGCAGATGCATTCCTATCATTTCTACGTTGGCGCACCATGGTCTCCTGATAATTATATCATGGTCTATTTCTTCCATCACGGTCATCCGTTGAAAGGACCAGATGGATTCCCGGATTCCTGCCTTGATCGCGCATTTGGTAACATACCCAGTGAAGGGGATTTCTCCGCCCGCTCCCCTGATACTGCCTGCTACCTCCTTGTTTACTGTGCACCCCGTGATTGTTGCGAAATCCCGTCGTATAAGGGTAATTTCCACGCCGCCATCCACTAATGCATCGGTGTGGTGGGTTCCGATTTGGACTTTAAGTTTTCCTACAGGCAGTGCGTGGAAGCTAAGTTTAGTGTCGGACGGTGCTCTCATGACTTCGCCACCTTCTCGATCCGGCAGGTTCAGACGAATATCAGCAAAGGCTTTTTCCAAATCTTCTAGGCCCCCTGGAATGCTTTGGAGGTTAGAGACTCCTTGTGGTGCCTCGGCCTCCTCGGCTCCATGTTCCTGTGGTTCCGGGGCCTCCTCTACTTCTACCCGTTTACGTGTCAATAGCTGCCTGAGACCCTTGAGCAGTCTCGGACTTGCCTGCAGCATGGTCTGGAAGGATACCGATACCATGGTGCCCAGGAGTTTGCTCAACGTGTCATCTAATTCAGGCAACGTCAGAATCAGGATCTGGTACCTGAACTTTTTTTTTGCTGCAGTGGCTTTATCTACCGGTTCCTCTTCCCTCGTTTTCCCATATACCTTCTCCTGTTCCCCGGCCTCAGCTTCCTGTTCTGTACTAGTACCAGCGACTTCTTCCATTACTGTATCTCGAATGAGTTTCTTTTCCGCGCCTGCTCGTAGAGTGGTAATATTTACCCTATCCTGCCCATTGCCTTCCAGGCTGAAGTTGACCTGGGGTCCGCGCCCCCTTGGATGGTTCCAGACAAGCTCGGCTACCGGCTCTGCTTCTACGGCAGCTATATCCAAGTTATTCAGGAGGATGATGGCACACCGCATTCCTCCTGGCGAATTTCTGTTCACGCGTTCTCCCTGGGGTCCGAGGATCTCGTCTTTGAGGGACCTACTGCATCTCTGTCGGACGATGTCGTGGTTAAATCTTGGGCAGGTCCTCACGAAGTGCCCGACCATTGTACAGTACTTGCATTGTTCGTTAGCCGGGTCTCTTCTGGCGAAACCCCGGTTGGCTACGGCTGCCGGAACCACGGCCTCTTGGGGGGGGAGGGCGGGTCTGAACACCTGTGCCTGCATCACTAATAGTGCGTTTTCCACCCTTTCCATCTTGCTGTCAACCCCGTGCACTCGTTCGTGCATGCTCTCAATCCCCTTCTTAACCTTATCCCCCGTTTTCCCGGTCAGATCTATAACCTCCCCTTCCTTAAGCAGGGTCAGGGTCTTAGTTACCACTGTCTTTTCCGCGAGGTCTGTTACGGTGCTGAAGTCCACATCTCTCGTGTACTCGAACTTACTGGTCTGCTGGTATGCTAACAAAATCTTATCCTTATCAAACTCGGAGAACTGCCTAAGGAAGTATTTACTCATTATACGGTCCGTCACCCCGGGGATTCGTAGAGCCACTAACGTAAACGCCCTTAGGAAATCGTTGTAGGTCGCATAAGTTTTCCTCTGGACTGCGGCTAATTCGGCCTCTGTTGCCATTTTCTCTGCCTTCAGGTATTTCCTCATCATCTCATTCCTGGTTTCTTTCCAGGATCCACTGGAGGCGACGATAGCCATAATGTCCCTTCCCAAGCTTAGCGACACATGCTGCCCTAGGTGCTCCATTTTTTCCTCTTCCGTCCATTTCAGTAAAGTTGCTAGGTTCTCATAGTCTATTAGAAACTCCGTAATGTTGGCCCCATCGAACGTGAGTTTCTTCTTTGCATCTGCGAGATATCCCTGGTTCTTGTTCAGTGTCCTGGTGAGGGTGGCGACTATCCTCTTGAGACCATCTTCGGAGCTACCCGCTTCTCCAGCTGCACTAGTCCCTTCCCCTTCCTTGCTTTCCCTCTGCTTCTCCCTGGTTTTCGGTGTTCCTTCTGGGTCAAACCATCCTAGCACCCTTTCCCTAAGGCTCCAGAGTCCGTCACACGCCCCTGTTACTTTCAGCGTGGCGGGCAGTCTGCTAGTGCCGCTGTCAATGGCGGGTGAGGTCATAGCGTTTTCCGTCCCTTCTGCCGGGGAGTCGTCCTTATCCTTCCCCTTCTTGCTAGGCGTCTCCCTATGATTGTTATCCTTCCCTTCATACCTGACCTCGTCCTGACTGGCCCTGCGTCCTTCCCGTGATCCCAAGCCCTGGAGATCCTCCTCATCCCCAGCCATCATCTGCTCAATAAGTCTTGCTTTAAATTCTGCAGTACGCTTTTCTATTTCTGCCAGTTTACGGCGAGTGTCCAAGACCTTTGTCTTTTTAGGGGTGACTCCCGCTGAGTTCCGAGGGCTCGCTCTCATATCGTTTCCCCCTTCCCTATTTTCCTGAGATCCCCTTTTGCTACCCCCAGCTTTCCCCGAGCTTTCTCCTGTTGAGAGACCCTTCCCGTTTTCTCGGGTTCCCTCCGGTTTGGCCGACTCTCGGTCCCTCGCTGATCCCTCGTTTCGTTCCCCATCCCCATTCGTACCCTGACTCCCTTTGCCCTGCTGATCCTCGATTTCTTCCTCCATCGCTATTCCTTTACCTAGCCTGCACAGGGAAATTTTCTTTTGCGAAAAATGGCCGGTTGTTCATGGCTTTTCTAATTCCGGCCCTAAAACCCCGTTGTTTTCATGCTTTTTTCGTCTTTCGTTAGTCGGGATGACTCTCCTGACTTTTACCTTCTCAGGACATTATTTAGTTTTTCCTGTACCGAGGGACTTGCAGTCATGGTTCGGTATTTTTGTCCCTACCGTACTCCGGTTCTCAGGGCGGTATCTAAGCCCAGTGGCTTTGTTCTCAAAAACAGTCCTTTCGACTTTTTGACACCCGGCTGTCCGACGTTCCAGGTGCCAGTGGTCTTCCTAGTTCCTTCCACCCGCATCGTCAGGTAGGGCGGAACTCCAACCACTGCCCCTTTTGTTGGCGACTTCCTCCTTATCTTAATACCCATCCTTATTTTTCCTGCCTTCTCCTGGCGTCTTTTCTCACGCCGGTCCCTCAGGTCCGCCTTGTTCGTTCAGTTCCTCGAACAGGTTCGCCACCCCGGCAAGGTAATTTTCTCCCATCTCTATTTCCCTGATAATTATTGGTTCATATTCTTCGAACGATAAGTGGGGCATTCCGCATATCAAGATCTCAAGTAATTCAAGTAGTTCCCAGGCGTGGTTCCCCCAGAACGGCCCATGTCTGACCGACACATCATAGAACATGGCCGTTGTTTGTGGCCGAAAGAGGTGGGTCCAGACCAGGGTCGAGTCCACCAAGTCCCTTGCCCTCATGAGGCTGCCGAATACCAGGTCTACCATGAAGCGAGGTACTCGGCACCTCAGCCCTATCATTGGGGCCTTAAACTCTCGCCAGCCTCCTACCTCCACCCGAGTCCTTAGCTCCACATTCCTTCTTCCTCGCACCTCCTGGCCTACTCGGTTTAGCACCCTGGTAGCCCTTTGGAAGATTGGTAACAACCCATGCCCTAGTGCCAATTCTGTCCCTAACATGTGCCACCCGAGCTCAGGCAGGTATGCGGTCCCCGTCACCCTGAGGTCACTATATAGGTCGTCCCCCGGTCCCCTGTTAATCCTCATACCATCCCACAAACATTCCACCAACATGAACGTCTGACCTCTTCCCAGGGTTACGGTCCTCCATTTGGCATCCAGTCCTTGAACCACATAGCTTGCTGGGAGCGACACCTCCCATCCACCTCCGTTTTTCGTGGGTGGCCGCGGGTGCATGGGTCGTCGTGACATCCGGGCTCGTCTCATTGCCATTTCCAATCTTGGAAATCCCCAGCACAGTTTTAAACAGCACGCGAGTTTACTTATTCCATTTGGTCTTCCGCCCGAACAACTCCCCGATCCCTAGCCTAGCGCTTCTTTTCCCCTTCTATTCCTTTCCCTTCCTTCGACCCTATTACCGACCTGTTTCTACCTCCATCGGCTCATACAATCGGTACAGATCATCTACGTACGCCATCCCTTGGTTTATTTCTCGTCGGACGACACCCCACAGGACCTCACTTCCCACGACCGGAACCCTCGGCCTGGTGCTAAACACAGCACACAGGATGCGCAACACCTCGTACTTCTGCTCTCCGCTAAACGGCCCCATTTCTAAGAAGGCCCGGTAGTATTCTCGATGTACCATCGCATCCTCATATGTCAGGCTTGCGAGGTCGGCTACTGCTTGTCTAACAAGTTCCAAACCGCCCAGTTTTTCTAGCAGGAAAGGTGGCAGCCTCATTCGTACATTTTCACTAGGCCATTCAAAATCCCCGACCGTGGCTACCCTAAGGTCCGCTGTTACATCGTCAACCCCCGGATCTGCGAACTCAAATCCTTCTCGCCACACTAACTGCCATGCCCCTTCAAACATGCTCAACGGGTCTTCTCCAGATGCCAGCCGAACTCCGAACTCCCTCCACCCATCTTCTGACACATACAGCCGTCCTTCTGCACGCATGAGCCCTCGTGGGTCCGGGTTCCATTCCCCATTCTCCTCCGCACGCCACTCCAATTTTGTCACCAGATAAACCATATCTTCCGCGAGCTCGACCCCGACCCAGTCCGCCACCCGGTGCCAACCTTCCCTTGCTGCTGGCAAGCTAACCTCTATCCCACCCGACACTTCCCTAGGCGGTTCAATGCCCAAGGGGCGTTCTTCAAGGAACGTCCTTCTTCGCGCCATCGCACACTTGCCTTCGATCTCCTGGCTCTCGATCCGCACCGAATCCTGTAATGGTCAGACATCCCATTTCCTTATCTTAGCAATTTTTCCCCACATTTGCCTGGCCTACGGCTTTCCCGTGTTTAGTCGAACCACAGTACCTCGAACAGTTTGAATAGGTCATCCACACAGCACGGCGTTGCTGCTACCTCACGGTGAATTATTGCCTCCCTAGTTTCCGGGGCCACCTCCTGTCGGTCATTCCTTTCGATGTCCAAAATGATAAGGACCTCCCGGGCTCTATCGCCGTGGAAGGGCCCGAATTTCAAGGACGTCCTGTAAAATTCCTCTGCCAGCCATGCGCAGTCCTCGTGTATTCGTTTCATCGTACCGGCTACCTCTGTTACGTGAACAAAGCCCCCAAACCAGTCTGCCACAAACTCGGGTACCCAGGTCTTGGTTCGGGTGCCAGGTGGTTTAAATTCCTTCCACCCTCCCATTACGACTCTACTGCTGACCATATCCCAGCCCTGGTTGGCGAACTTCTCCCCTGCCTGCCGAGCCCTTGCCTCAGCATCCCCTAGGAGCCACATCGGGTTCTGTCCTACCGCGAGCGTTGTGCAGAACAGATGTCAACCTTGCTCCGAGAGAACGACCGTCCCAACCGACTCCACCTTACCTTCCGCAATCTCCTCCCATCCTTCCTCCTCCCTCAACGGTTTCCAAGCACGATCTATCCATAGGTACGACAATTCTGGCACAATCTCATGCCCCCGCCAGTCACATGTGGTCCCCTTCCATTCATAACTCGGTGGTATAGACATCTCTACTCCCCTCCTGACTCGCTTCGGTTCCCACGTGCAGTCCCATAGCTCGAGTTCCCGGACCATCGCTCCCTGCCTGCACATAGTCGACAACCCGTTTCTCAGGTAAGCCCCCCCCCTTCTTCCTTTTCAAAAATCCCAATCCTCTATCTCGTCCCCATCCTCGTCATCACTGAAATCCTCCTCCTCGCCCAAGAACAACTCTTTCACCCCTTCCAAGAAGGTTTCCCCTGCCGCCACATTCCGGTAGATTATCTGCCAGTGCACCAGACTGGGAACAAAGATTTCGTCCGCGCTGAGGAGGTTTAGAACCTCAGCTAACTCTTCCGCCCAGTTTCCCTCAAACGGCCCTGCCTCCACTGACAGTCTAAAGAAGTCCTGTCTAGCGCATTGGTACAGCCCCAGGCGCGTCATCGACTGACATATCCGTTTCAGTCTATCCCTGGTCCCAAAGACCGCATCCACCAGGAACGGAGGTAGCACGCACCTCATCGTCCTAAGGGGTCGTCTCATATTTTTCCCGTCCCCGAGTTCCACTCGCACCTCCATCTTTTCCATTTCCATTTCTGCCCGCTGACACGCCGCCCATATCACTTTCCGTTCCGCTTGCCTAAACAGCTGGCTTGGTGCCGTGCCCAATACTAATCCCACTACCATTGCATTTTCCATTTCCTGAGATAAGTAGACCCATCCTCGAGCTTCCACCGTTCCCCGGAACTCTAAATCCATCAGACTTGGTGAGAGTCTCGTCAGGCTGACCTTGGTCCAGATCGTCTCTATCCAGAGGAACGCGTCCTTCTCGTCCAGCATCACGGTTTCATACGCTGGTTCTAGGTCCGTCCACGTTCCTTCTTGTGGGAGAACAACAGATACCCCATCCCTTACGTCTATAGGCATTTTCGGACCACTAGAGTAGACAGGAGGCGACAACCATCGCGCCATTCTTGTTTTTCTCGGCTCCCGTCCTGTTTTCATAAGAGAGCACCACACGGCCCCTCATGGTCAGATCGCCTCCTTATTTTTGACGAGAATCGTTTTCAGACCCCTTATCCGGGTCTTCCTAGCCTTTCCTACCCACTTCCCGGGTGCCATTGCCCTACCATACCCCCAGTCGATCACCCTTAGCCGGCCTTTCCTTTTCTCTTGGTTCCATTTCCTTCCGACCCCTATCCATCCTTATCCTCATGTTCTCTCACTCGTGCGGACTTAGTCAGGAGGTGAGAATAGACTTAGAAGCTTAATCCCTCTCCCAACACTTATCAGGCAACTTTACAGAGGGAGTCACAAAAAGGACAAATCAGGCAGTCATCGCACACAGGCCGATCATCTCCTCACCGGCCTTTTCCCCAGAATTGGTCTCTCCACTGTTACCTTCGGCAGAGTTTTACCCCATGCCTCAAGCACAGCTCAACCGTCGCGAGCGCGGTACCCAGACTCCAGTGGGGGGTCACCCTCACCTTCTTGCCCAGAATACCCCATCCCGACTTGCCGCTCGTGTACCCACCGTTAATCTCGGGAATCACCCCGCACATCTCGGTAGGTCCATGGGAGCCAGCCGTCCAGGCATTCACTTCCATCGGTCCGATAAGGAACAGCCTTTCCCAGACCAGGCTACGAGAAGCTACTGATCACCTCCCAGGCTCCGTCTTTGCCCCCATGTAGCGGTGCTCCCTCCGCCAATCCACAGGCTTGGCCCCGCCTAAGGAACGTTTCACACCCCGCTCGGCAGATCAATCGAGCCGAAGCCCGTCACCGCACGGACGAGAATGCTAATAAGCACTGGACGTGACAAACTCCCGTTAGACATCTTGGTGGACTGACCCCCGCATACGAACAATCGGCAGTCTGCAAAGAGAACGATGTTTCACAACCCGCAGTAGCCGGTGCAGACCCCACATTTCCTTCCAAATGGCACGACGCTCAATATCCCCATCACGCAAGCACAAGTCCCAAGTGGGACACACATAACACAAGTGCCTTTCCCCCGGTGCACCCAGCGCTTCCTACCCATAGCTTACAAATTTTCACTCAGGACAATGTGTGCCACTCACCCCTACTTTCCATACATAGTGCCCGGTTCCTTTTCGTGAGCATCTTCAAGGGGGAGCTAGTTTTTCCCTGTAGTCTAGAAACTCCCTTCATTCCATTCATCTTCACTTCTTGTGTCCGTTCATAGGGCAGGATTGTTCCTTCTCGATTACCCTTTGTGTTCATATTTGGTTCCTTCAAGCATTATGTGCGGTGCATAGAACCCGCTGGGCTCCAAAGAGAGAGGAAGATACCCAGGTCGGTCGGATCGCTCCACCGCGGGATTTTCATTGGCATCCGGACTAGCCCGGAATCCCAACCGCCTGCCAGGTAACCGAAGCCCTTCTTTCACACGAAGAGGAAGGGTCGACCTGCGGCTTGCCCAAGGCTTCCCCGGTCTGACGAGCATCAACCCGAAGGAAGGAGGACTAGAGTCACCTCCGAAGGGAGATGGCTGATTAAGTGTGCAAGCATGCATGTTTTTCCTCCAGGCCTGACCTTGCCATGCGCCCAGCCACCCTCAAATCTGATTCGCTCAAAGGGATAGAGCATACACAAGTCCTCATTCCTTTTCTTGAAGTTATATTCTTGGTCATGCGTCGGACGCCCCCCTCGAGATCGTCAGGGTCAGTTTAACCAAATACCCGGCACTCTCCACCATTTTTGTAGGGGCCGTACCCTGAAGGACTTTCGAGCCTTGGTCGACCCCACTGCGGGTCCCACTCGGCTCGACCTGCCCACGCTCACGCTCAGGGCGCAGGTCGTTCGTCCCAGGGGCACCCCCACCTAGTGCTATGAGATGGATGGCGATGAGCCTTGTGCGAGAGGGCTTTACATTGGGGGATGAAGCTCCGCTCTCGCGTCAAGATGGTAGCTCTTTGA